ATAATGAGATAATAAATGGCAATACGGGCGACGTTTTCGGTGATGAGTCCATCGAATTCCTTCTCGATTTGACCGAATAAGTGGTGCAATCGGTGTCTGAAAGGAGACATCACTCGTGAGACATACAGACATCAACTGACAGACAATACATGACAAGACATGCACTTATATAATGGCATTAAAAAGCAAAAGCAATGATCATTAGGTAATTATTGTGTTTGTTTTAGTAATGAAAATCGATTTGCGAGACACTATACACTATAAACTATAGTGAATACACTATAACTATAGCCGTAATCATAATATTTATGATCACTTCTTATATCAACTTTTATTTCGTAACAAATATTGTCTTTTCAAAGTCAACGCAAACACGAAAAACAGATCATTAGTGTTGAGGACTTTAAGTGAAAAGTAAGACAATGTTTGACTAAATCAATAGTCAAACAAATCCCTCACTAAACGTCTTCAGCAATGCATCGCTAAACATATCGTGAGATTAACACCGAATTTGTGGTCAATTTATGAGACAATTACTTGATATTGGATTCATTGCAGTCGCCCTCCGATGACAACTTCTTGCGGTGTTTGGTTGTGGCCATTGATTATCACACGGATTCCACGGCACAATCACCTTGCTCACAATTATTAGCTACAATACCATTATATACAGTACAAGTAATCTATGAACTATCCGCACGTCTACTGAACTAAATATCAAATGAATTGTTTTTTAATGAAATTTTTTAATCAAAACATGAATTGCAAACACAATACAGGTCTGAGTGTGAAGTCTATGGCATAGACTCTATGCTAAACACAAATGTATTGTACTTTCGATGAGATGTTCACTGAATTGTAGGCGAAATGCAATGATTTGTTGATAACATGTTTGGCAGTAATACTAACACTGAAAGCAATCACGAGTAAGACTTCACGCATTCAAACGGCAATCAAATTGTGAAAATAATTAATTGTCGAAACACTCATATACAACGTGTCGCCCGTAGGGGAGGGAGCGGTGATTGACATTGACTTACATGCGATGGCCGTATGTATTGCTATCTATGGCTATTTGTGGCCTATTTTTGATGGGGTTTTCAGTGTTTGCTTCAATGAAAAGTGAAATCATATGCATTTCGTAACGCGTTATATGAATGGATACAATTTATATCGATTGCCATTCAATGTCAAGCAATGCCTTCCCATAGATGTCGCTCGCATTCAATGTTTACTTCAATTCATGTGTTTTTGTTTATTTGAAGACTTGTTTCAATCACTTCACAAATCCTATCATTAAATGAGTTGTCATTTAATGGTTACAAACAATGAGTGTTTGTCTCACAAAGTCGTTGATTAGGAGTTGGCTGTCAATCGCATCCGCAAACAAGTTGTCCATCAGATCGACCAATGTTTGCCTCAATACTCACAGTAAGTCTTCGGATGTCTCGTGAAACTCTTGCTTAAGAATCCAAACCATTGTTTTTGTGGTCATAACTATTGCCTATATATCCATAGGATTTGTGTCTTTGCGTCCAAACAGCGAATCGACGGCTGAGGACCAGATAATCGATGTCCAGAAGTATAGGGAAGAGCATGGGATCCAGTGTTTCGGTGACTCAATCCCGGATCCGATCCATTCGTTTGATTGCTATAAATGGCCGCAAATGTTGGACAAACGGATCCAGTCGTTGGACTTACGGACGCCGACACCCATTCAGTCGCAGTCACTGCCCATCATCTTCTCGGGCAGGGATTTGGTGGCCATCGCTCACTCCGGCTCCGGAAAGACCCTCTGCTTTGTGCTGCCGGCGCTCGTATGAGACAACCATTGCATCCACGCGTACATGGGATCTAATATACGGTATGTTTGTGTCCACAGATGCGGACTCTGTCGGCAGGTCTGGACCATTGGCCCAAATGTCTGGTACTGACGCCCACTCGTGAGTTGACTCATCAGGTCGAGCGAGTGGTCAAACAGTTCCGATTCGTGCGCTCTGTGTGTCTGTACGGCGGCGTCTCCTACGAGGTACAGGAGATGCTGCTAAAGCGGGCCAACCCTCACATAGTGATCGCCACACCGGCGCGGATGCACTCGATTCTGGAGAAAGGGATCGCAAAACTCGAGTTCATTGACTTCATTGCCGTCGACGAGGCCGACCTTATGCTGCAAATGGGAATGGGATCTCATTTTAATGACATAATGACCGCTTTGCCTCAAAAGCGACAGACCCTCATGTTGTCGGCCACGTGGCCCCCAGAGGTGCAACACTTAGCCGACCGGTTCCTCAAGAACTACATTCACGTCAGTGTCTCAAAGACCCGATCCTTGGAATCGTTGACTTTAAACAAGAATATCCAACAATTGGTGAAAGTGTGCAAAGAGTCCGAGAAAGACGAGAAACTCATGGAATATATGAATGAATTCATTCCAACCATCTCTGGATTCTTGAAGACAATCATTTTTGTGCGACACAAGAGAACTGCCGATCGTTTGGTACGAGTGCTGAAGAGGGACTCCTTTCCGGCCCGCGCTCTCCACTCGGATAAAGAGCAAAACGAAAGGGATTTTGTTATCAGAGGTTTGACTCATTTCGATGTCTCACAGAATGCCCACAATTAAGATATGATTATTTTGTACAGAATTCAGAAAGGGATCCATTCCTATATTGGTCGCCACTGAAGTAGCCTCCAGAGGGTTAGGTATGCAATGGTTTTTTGCCAATTTATTCGACCGTAGATTTCATTAATTAGTTTTTATTTAAATATATAGATTTCAAAGACGTCCGACTCGTCCTTAATTATGATTTTCCATCAAAAATGGAAGACTATATCCACAGAATCGGTAGAACCGGTAGACATAAGGATAAGGGAACCGCATTGACCTTATTTACAGCCAAAAATATTTGTCACAAGGAATCGCTTATACAACTGTTGACAGAATCCGGACAACAAATTGACCAAAACTTACGTGATTTGAGTGAAGAGTCTGATCCGCCGGAAGCGACCCCTTCTTCAACCGAAGATTCCGGTTATGAGAGTTCCGGTGAATACGACTCCGACAGCGACAACGAGTCCAAAGATTGGGCGTCAGATAAATCAGACGACGAAAAGAGTAAAAATAAGTCATGAAAACGATGTCAAATCAAGTAAACCATATCTTAACTCATATATACTTTTGAATAAATTATAAAATTAATTTAAAACGAAAATATTTTTTATTTTTTAAGTGAAACTTTTTTTTGTTCACTTTAACTGTTATTTAGATCGTTAAACATGTGATTGGATTTGATATAAGATGTGTAATTCTATTAATAAATTACAGTTTAATGTGTGAATGAGTAATGATTTATAAAAAGTATAATTTTTCAAATTCAATAATTGTAATTATTACATAGTATTCAGAAATCACTGGTATTTATTAAAAGTTTTTACCTTAAATGAGCTAATGTTTAATGTATAGAAAACATGAATGATTGAATGGAAAACTTTTTCTTTTTCAAAACCCTGATAACTTATCTGAGACACGACATGTGACTTATAGTAATTGTAATATAATTTCATANCCTTTCTCATACCCCTCGAGCCCTCACTCTTGATCAGTGTGGGCGCGATGGGGCTCATAGGTGTGGCCTATGCCATCGCATTTATACCCACATTTGAATCTATATTAGACATCGCATTGTATGACACGATTTAATTATTACTAAAATACTAATTGTTTAATGAATTGTATGAATATTGACATTTAAACAGAGATAAAGGATTTTCAGACAATATCTCAACCTATAGTCTAGTCTCAGGCCTATGGAGTGCTATGTATTCATTGGGGTATAAATTGTATTCAATTTTTTATTTAGTTTTAATTTTTTGTACGCTTTTATTGATACAAATAGTGAAGTGACGGGTCCGTCGCTCGGGGGATGGCTATCGGAAAACTTTGACTTTTCAATCGCGTCCACAATTATGGCCGCATTTGCGTTAATGGGTGTAAGTATCCATTGTATCCTGATACAAACCAATGAACCCATTAGTAAATGCCTTATAATTCAGGCCATAATCGCCGGAATCACGTTCTTCTTCGTGCAATACGAGGAGTCCGACTCATCCTCGTCTTCATCCTCTTCCTC